GGAGAGGGGAAGTACATGTGAAACAAGCCTGTTCCCTAACTTGAATTAATAATAATAAAAAGAGAGGAAAAAAAAAAAACAGCTAACATCACACCTAACATCAAAGACAATGATTTCCCTGAGTATTGTCCTCACTTCTAAGCAGAGCAATAAATAAACACGTAAAATAAATGGCATCTAAATTACAAAGGGAAAAAAATGCTTGGAGTGTGCAAAATGCAATCCTGACACACTCAGGAGGCCAAAACAAGAGGATTATCAGAAATTCTAGACCAGTCTGGACTACAAAGGGAGACCCTGCCAGGTGGGGAGGCATGGGTGGTGAACAGGTGATCTACCAATAGTATGTTATAATTTTATAACACTATAGAAGTCCAGATTACCTAGATGTAGAAGTTCAGTGACTCTCAAGACTGGCTCTATTACAAGCAGGAAGCTGTTACAAGGCAGGAGTATCAGGAGTTCAAGACCATCTTCAGCTACAGAGTGAATTTCAGGCTAGCTGAGGCTACAGGAGACCTTGTCTCAAAAAACAAAGGGGGGGTAAAGGAAAAGTGACGTTTCCTCTGTTCTGATATTCTCTCCTCTATACTTGACAAAAATGAACCTAGCTCTTTAAAAATGTTTAAAAGTTACATTTATTTATTTATTTAATGGGGATGGGGGTTGAAGAACAATGTAGGCAGATTTTTCTGTCTTGACAGCCCACTCCCAAATAACTACATAGACTTATTATTAATTATAAATGCTCTGTCAATAGTTTAGGATTGTTTCTAATTAGCTCTTACAACTTGAATTAATCCATTTCTTATTAATTTACATGCTGCTACATGGCTCATGGCTTGTTACCTCTTTTCTACACTTCTACTTCCTCTGCATCTGGCTGGCAACTCTGTCCTTCCCATTGTTGTGTCATTTTGGTTCTCCTACCTTCTGCCCAGCTATTGGTCAGTTGGCTCTTTATTAAACCAATGAAAGCAAAGCATCTTCACAGTGTACAAAACAATTATTCCACAGCAGGACAACTTAGGGGCCTCGGTTCTTTCCTACCAACCCTGGGTCCTGAGCAATGCACTCAGGCACTCAGTCTTGGTGGCAAGCATCTCTCCCCCTTAGCCATCTCACCAGCCACCACCAATTCTTTTTAAAAATGTTTTCAATGTGTATGGGTGTTTGCAGGCACACATGCCTATGTACCATTTTCATCCCTGGGGCACATGGAGGCTGGAAGGGGACATCAGAGCCCCTGGAACTGGAGTTACAGATGGTTGTGTGCCTCCATGTGAGTGCTCAGAACCAGACCCAGGTCCTCCAGAAGAGCAGCCAGCTCTCTTAACTGATGGGCCATCTCTCTCATTTATTTTCTTTTGAGTTCAGTCTCAATAATCTTCACACCTCTGCCTCCCCAACCTTGTGTGCTGTGAGCCATTGTGTTTGGTTCCCGATGAGTACTACAAAGTACCTGCCTGCACACTGTCAGACTCTCCATTGGTTTCTGTGTGTCTGTGTGCAAATGCTTTATGGCTAATTAAAAAAAAAACTTATATTGTTCAACTTACATATTACATATTACAAAATTCACTGGTTTTAAGTTTACACTTACTTTTTCCCTAGTGGTGAACCAGGGATATTCAATGATAGGGACACAGAGTTCATGCCCCAGGCTGGCTTCAAATTTGCTGTTTATCCAGGAATGATTTTGAACTTGTGATACTCCTGCCTCCTACATCTTCCCAGTGTTGGGATCACAGATGTATGTCACCCCAAAGGATGTCTGTTGCAGTCAATTTGAAGGTCATCAACTTTCTCATGGCTCAGAAGTAAAGCACTCCTATCTTGTGTAAGGCCTGGGATGTAATCCCCTACACTTTAAAATAAATCATAAAATAAACTTGATCTAGGGCCCCACAACTGCAAGGTGGAAGCAGGTTATCCTCAGCTACACAGCAAAGCCAAAGAGATACACAAGGTTCTGTCGCAAAATAAATAAATATTAAAAAATAAGTAAAGACTTGGCTAACCATTAATTCAACAATGGAATGGTTAAGATGGCCGGGACTGTTTTCATATAAACAGTTCTCCATGTGCCTCCCTTGCTACTATTCTCCATTTGGCCGGTGAGCTCCTTTACAACACACACACACACACACTCCATATCACAGTTCCTCGAGAAAAAGGCCATAAGTTGAGGCAGCACCTAGACTCCCTGGGGAGCCCAGTCAAGAAACACTCATCTGTGGCTGTTTTGCGCAGTTTCCAACACCACCAACTACATCAGACAACAGGCTCTTTTCCATCTTTGACAACATCCTTTCCCTAATCACCACACCGATTCCTAGCCTCTCCTTCCTCGCCTGAAGCTGGCACCCGACCTTTAAAAAAAAAAAAAGCCACCGCCTAAACCAAACCACTTGACGTGCTGAAGGGAGTGTGTGGAGGTGTAAGTGTGTGGAAGTGACTGTGTGTGGAAGAAACCAATCGCGTCCCCCTAGGTGTCCATCTTGTGGAATGCCAATTAGGCCCGGCCGAGCGAACCAGAATTAGCTTTCCAGTACACACTCGCACACAGCAGACACCACAAGGAGGCTCGGGGGCAGCTAGGCTCCACTCGGTCCCCTGGCCCAGCAGGCTCCCCGCAGCCAAGGACACAGCATCCCCCGGCCGCGCGCAGTGGTAGGAGCCGCGCGACGTCACCCATTGTTTACAAATCAACCCGAGC